TGGGATTGGATGGGGAAAGCGAGATGGGAACGAGGCGCGCAAGCGTTGCTAGAAACCTTGACGGCGGCAGAAGGGCTCGGTAGCTCGGCTATTCGGCCACTAAAGGAGGCACGAGAGAAAGAGGAGAGAAACCGAGGGGCGGCGGGATAGGGGGAGGGAAAGGAAGAGGGACGACGCAGGCGGGAATAGTAGGCGGCATGGAAAGCTGCCGGATGAGAGGAGCGAGTCTTATGAAATATGGCCTCCTTGCGGAGGAGCCCGCTTGTGTTCCGCGTTGCTGGTATGGCTGGCGTTCCGCGCGCAGAAGGAACGAGTTCTGTAGGGAGCGAGGAGGCCAGGGAGAAAAGGGGAGCCGGCGGGATAGGGAGGGGAGGGGGGGGGGAAAGGATTTATTCTATTCCAGGATTAAGACTCCCATAAGGACGCTAAGCTTTGCGTTATGAAGACAGCCGAGGAAAAATCTGTCGCGATATTTCGGGCAGTTTGAGACGCGAGCAGAAGCCGCGCGCGCTTCACGTTTAGAGGCTCGCGTGGGTAACGAAAGCAGCTCGCGCGTCGAGTATCGCGGCGTACCGTTAATTAATTAAAATCCGCAGCCGCAACGTCGACTAGTCTAGAGCGACGTCGTAAAAATTGGCGGGGGAAGGGCCGGTAAAAATATTGGTTATACATAAACGTTGCGTTAACGAGGCGGCTCTTAGCGACGCTATCTGCAAGTACCGCGAGCTAGAGGCGGGCCCCGGATTAATAACAGTAGAGATAGGCAGTTTTGGACGTACCTCGCCTCGTCGCGATCGCGAGCATATAATTTATACGAGACGCAAATGCGAGTTACACGCGTTCTGGCTCTCTATCATCACCGATGAGCAACGAGATACGGTATTTGCGGCCTGTGCGAGGCGGAGAACCTTTCACGTGGCGCGCGGAGAGCGATGGCGAGAGGAGAACCCGGGGTAGCTGCGCTTGACTATATAACAGTTTGGATTACGACGTAGCCCGTACTCACGATCGAGAGAATTGATCGCTATAGAGCGGAATTGGGACGTGGACGCGAGGGGGCAGGGAGGGAGGGAGGGAGGGGGGGAACAAGAGGGGGTATAAGGAATTCAGCTTTATATGCGCGCGCGGAGAGATACTGAAAGGGAGATACATCTTTTACCGTTAATACGTTATTCAAACGATCGGGATTGCGGAACGTGTAATGCGAGCCTTGGATATTAATTCGCGATTGCATATTAGTCACGCTACATTTGCAACTCATTCTTCCGCCGACGTGTCATTACCGAAAATTCCATATTTATTCCACCGAGTCTCGCTCTTAATTTTCCTTTCGCGTTAATTTGTTAGGGAGAAAAGGGAACGTCGTACATTTTGCAGACGTACGCGCGGGTTCAGTGTATGTATGATTCTATTTTTATTTATAATAATAGATGCAGTCGATAAGTAAGAATTTTTAGATAATGTTAGGATTACTTAATGTTACTCGAAGATTATCCAAAAGTACTGCCCGATATAAATACTGGAGCTAGCACGAGCAAACAAATACTAAGGAAGATTGACGCGAAAGAAATAAATTCACAGCTTTTCTAAATTTTTTACCTAAGAACATGCATTAAGACAGTCGTTAAATTACTTGAGGTTCAGGCTGATAAGAAATCTTTTTCTCTGATAAGTTTAACACAGGTAAAAATTTAATAATGTTAGAAAAAATATATATACGAGTATAAGAAATTTTCGCGATATTTGATATTTGATTTCGCGAAGCATCACATCATATGCCTTTCAACGTAGAAGAGACCTGAACTTTGACAATATTTAAAATCTCGAAATATCGCTATTCAAACTATTTTCACCGCGATCCCTTATTACTTGGCAATCTCCAAAGAGGTATTCTCTAGAAAGATTTCGGTCGAAAGTTTCTCGACGCCTTCGGCGCCGCAGTATGCGCCGAAAGATTATTGCATCGAGAAACAGGCAGCGCGAGAAGCCCGCCTTGCGCGCGAACTAGCCAGCTTGTTTCTTGCGGTCGGGGAGAAGTCGAAAACCTCTGGTGAACCCTACGTGCCCCCCACCACCGCGCGGGCCCCTCCGACTCCTTTCTTTCGTTTCAGACCGGGCCTGCTTGCCCGGGTTTGAACCGCGTACCTAAAATGCAGGCTAGGTTTTCGGACGGGCTCGCGCCCGTCGTACCCGCCCACCCGATATTCCCCTCCATCGGCCACGTTGTTAGCCATCTTCCTCTCGTTGCTAGGGCCCCGCACTCGATAAGCCTACCCTACCCCATCCACCACCTCTCGCCCCCTCTCGTATGCTACCGCCGCCGAATAGTCCCAAAATGCATCGGTGCCTCCGCGCCTCACCCCTCGTCCCTCCTCATTGCGTGGCGATGCAATGCCGGACCTCCGCCTGTCCCTCTCTCTTTCTCGCTTTCTCGCCAATTCGCCCTCCCGCCTGCTCCCCCTTCCTTTCTCTCTCTCTCTCTCTCCCTCTTTCTCTCTCCCCCCCCCTCCTCTCTCTCTCTCTTCCCACGTCTACTACCCTCTTTACGTCTCTTCAGCACGACAGCACGCCCTACCCGCCGAACTACCTCTCCCTTGGTTGCTAGGTCCGCTTTTTCGCGAATAGAGCCGATGCATGCCTTCCACGTGCACGTTGGATTTTGGACGCGCGACAAAGTCCAAAACCTATGCGCGGCGCGCATCCGCGAGTGGCGCTTTAATTTGAATACATTATGAATTATTAATCAGTCTACTCGAATAGCACACGAGGCGTTGATAGAACGCCAAAATCGGCATCTCGTTATTATTATCGAGCCTGATTACATCACCCTCTTTTTAATTCGACTCGCGTGATATCACTCCCTTGAACGTGTTCTTCCCACTTATCAAACGGCTAACATTTCTGACACAATGAGCGATTGGGCGGATCGAAGAACAGATCTCTGTCGTCGCGTTTTCTCGCGCGGTGCCAATGTTGAAATAAATTTCGGAATACAAGACTAGCAAACGCTCGTTATTCTCGCGTTGCAATTACGTTCTCTTATACTTATTACGAAAATACATGTCCGGCCTAACTTTAATGATATATTCCGCGCTATATTTACCGCCGAGTGTAGACTAAATTAGGTATAATATAAAGAAATGTTATAAAAGTTTGATCACAGGATATAAATAAAAATTACATATATATTTGGCGCGTACTACAGTTTGCTATCTGCAAACGTGTTAGATCGCACGGAATTATTTAGGATGTTATTTCGCCGGTAATAGTATACCCGAAAGAAAGGATCAGCTGGTATAATTTTGCAAATACGATCACCGATCTAAAATATAACATTCATCGTTTCGCAAAGCGACGGTGTACGCCACACGTTGGTACCATTCCAGACGAATCGCTGAACTATGAAGGCGACAAACATCGTCAGCAATATTTTCGCACATATGTCACGTTACGAAGTTACCCGATAGTATACAAGTCTGCAGTAACTCAAGCATGCTAATCGAGAATTAACAATTATCGGACGAGAAATGGTAGTTGCTATATCGCGCTCTTGTATCCGCGTAAGATTTATCCGTCTTACAAATGTAAGAAAATGGCATGGTACGCATACGTTGCATTTTGCGCGAATGTGTGAATTCCAATTGAAATCGGGGGCATTATCGCGCGACACGTCGCCGAGCCTTTTTCTCCATTCTGATCTGTTGTTCTGCACAATTAAATGGATTTATCGACATGTCGTTCCTGGAGCGAAAGAAACGTTCCGTTGCGAATGTCGCCGTTGTACAACGTATTCAAGTATATCGCAATTATTCGACCGACTCGGCGACGGGTCGAGGACAGGCGTGACAGAGCCGGAATTCGGCTGCAAGACCGCGGTGAGAAATTCGCGGGCTAGGCGCGGCCCTGTCTCATTGCTAGAGACCCCCTCTTCCACTTGGAAGGCTGCACCTAAATGCGCTATCCGCCGCGCTGCCCCCACCAAGTGCATTCCACCTATTTGGGCCCCCCACCATATGGTACCGGGCCGAAAAGTGCAACGGCCTAAATTCACGTAGAGGAAGGTAACAAGGGCCTTGGGTTTCTCCCACCCGGCGGCTCGGTGCAACAACCTAATTTCTAGAACCCTCCTCCTCTCTCTTTCTCTCTCTCTCTCCCTCTCTCTTCCCTTTTTTTCTTTCCTCTTACGCGCGTTTGGTCCCCCCTTCCGCCCACCCTCCCCCCGCCGCTGCTGCCACCGCCTCCACCGCCGCCGCTACGTCTTTTTTCATCCTCACCTCGCGCGCGTTACCCCCTCGGCCCCTTGAGCTCCCACCGACCCTCCTCGCCCTCCCGTCCACCGCCGAAACTCGCCCGCTCTCAGTCGGACGTTCGCCGTTTCGCCAGGCCCGGCTCCGAACCACATCGTATCGCGCTTCTTCTACTTAATGCAATCGCTAGTTGGTTTTCGGCGGCAAGCCCTACCTCCCCCCCTCTGCCCTGCCGCGCCGTCCGTTCCCCGCGGTTCCCTTCTTCGGCTATACCCGTCCCCCCGCCGATCACCCCGCCGAGCTCCTACGGAGCCCGCTTCCATCTTTCGCCATTCTCTTCTTCTTGCGCCGTTCTCTTTTTCCTTCTTTCTTTGCCTCACTCCTTTTTTTCCCCCCTTTGCCTCGGTGCAATCGTCTCCGCTTACTAGCGATTCGTGCATGCAATACGATCTCTCGTCCTGCTACGGCTAGCACGAAGAGGAGAGGAGCGACTTTGCACTCGCTCGCGATCTCTCTTTCGCTCGCTCTGCCTCTCGCTCCCTCTTCCCCCCCGAGACGGACCAGCGAAGTTTGTCGTGAAGAATATCCGGCCAATCGCACACGTGATTATTTGAGCGAAGATCGGGTTAAATCGCGAGAAATGAAGCCTTAGTCCATTCGGACGGACGAGAAAATAAAAGACAAGTCACACGGTGCACTTTACGCGGTGCGCGCAGCGACGCGCTGCCTCTCCTTCGGACCTCCGTCACTCACCGCTGCTGGAATGTTTTTGGTTCTTATCTTCCCCTCCTCCAAGCCCGGCTCTTCGTCGTTGCACTTCCTTCGCGACTGGTCCCTTGTTTACGCCGTCTCGCGCAACCCTTCCCGTTCTTCCCTAAAACGTAAAGATAGCGTAATATTAAAAACACGAGCGTCCGCCAGCCCCGCGACTCGCTCCTATGATGCATTTCTAGAGCGCAGAACTCGTCCGGCCACCCGAGATGCCGCGTCCACGATATTTCAGTCAAGTAAGCGTAACAAGACGCGAATAACACGTGCAATCATGTTTAGACCGCGCTATGAGAGTCTAGCCCATTGGTACTACCAGGCGGCGCGAAGGCCACGGCAGTATCGCGAAAATATTCACACATCCTCGTCGCACGATATTTTTTTCTCCAGTCTCCATAATTTACACGCCGGCAATGTCCGGCGCTCTGGGAGACGCTAACTCGAGAACCGCGGTTTCCATCGACGTTTGGCCGAAACATTGACGCGCACAACTTTTCGACCTGCAAATTAAGGTAGTTAACGTCAGTGGTCAATAACAATAATAATATTCTCACTGACTCGGCAAAGGTTAACATCGCGACGGAGAATAAACGTTCCGATTCTTGAATAATAATTCCGATTCTTTTGATATTCTAGATATCGACTTTCCGCGCTGTCATTAGTCCGGATAAATATTGCAATGCGAAAGGTTTTATTCTGATGCGGTCATCGAGTGAGAATAGCGAACTGCAGCTTCCTCAAGTGGGTTAATTTTCTAACCCAGTTTTTTTTCCCTCCCGTATGTAGGTCGATCGGATCGAAAAAAGATTCGCGAGGCATACGAATGTTTCGCCCCAGCCTGGGAAATAGTTGTACACGTAAATACGGAAGAGTGCGACAATGGGGAGACCGCGTTGAGGGTCTATCCAGACAAACTTGCACGGCGCATAAACGTACGCGCAATATACCAATCAATTTCTTTATGCATCGAGGGAAGTTCTCTATTATGAGATAGCAGGTTTTCAACGTCCAAATTCAATGCGAATCCTTTTTCGCAACTGATTACGCAGTGATAGAAAAATATGTAGTATTTGAAACTATAATTGCATAGTAAAATAAGTGTAGTCAGGGATATCATTTTTATATATAGCAACCATATAGACACAGTGATGCCAACTATTTACAAAATTTACGATAAAATATAAGCCTTTAACTATTATTCTGTTAAAATGTCCGGGTAATGAGTAGTAAATCAGTAAATTACTTTTATATAGTAAATTTAACTACATTTCTATCATCCACCTTACTAATCACATGGTAAACATAACTGAAGCGGTTCGGTATGTCCTCACTAAAGGGACGCGCGGTGTAAGACTTTCTCGTAAGAAGAAAACCGCATCGGGTGTTATAAATGCGGATGAGTTTATGCACTCGTATAAGATTACTTATCTTTTCGTTGAAAGATGCTTTCTGGTACTATTCTTTATGAGTGCAAAGTGACGTAACCAATGAACATAGTGAACGCAATGTATAAAAAGCAGGGAATATTACTTCCAACATAAATCCGATTATTACCATTGCATATAGTTATTCGAAATTTTACTTGTGGTTGTTACTGCAATATTTATAGTACACCTTACCAAATTAAAAGCTCGTTTTGGTTTATCACAACCGTATCATAAGTTGCATGGGCCAATATTGCGTCTATGAGAACTATAATTCATTGTTAGGTCAACCGTAACTTACGTAGTTGGAAGAATTATAAAAATGTGGTTGGCTCCTAAAATTACTACACTGAGAAAAATTTTCATCGGATAAACCAATGAAACAGTGTTTCCGATGGTTAATTTTTCCGATTACGTTTTCCGACTAAATTATGGATACATCCGATAAAATTTATCCGTTGAAATGCTGTTATCCGATGAAATTTGTTTGCAAAACCGATCACATATTTCATCGGATATACAATGTAATCGGATATATCCGTTTGTTGTTATGTAATTGGATTATCCAATTATATTTAATCGGACATTTTTCTCACACTGATAG